ACAAGAGAGAGACATAACCACCAAAATGCTTTACGCCTAACATCTCTTCCCAAAGAATAATATGTCACAAGACTTTGGTCCTATCCCGCCAGGGGGATTCATGACAACAGGACTGGTTAAGGCGAGGGACCCCAGCCCGAGCATCATCCAAGTCCTAAAACGAGGCCGGCTTGGATACTTGATTGCGCTGCCCGCTATACAGGATTTAAAACAGTCAAAGTATAGAAACTGTGAGCCCTGGCCATCAATCTTGGATACAGAGTTCAAGCCAAGAGCATCATATGACGTATGACAGTGACTAAAGCGAAGGCTTGAGGCATAAAGTGATAAAAAAAGTGCGCGAAGACGACCTGAAGAGAAGAAAGTGATGGCAGGCAGACCAGCAGAGAGCAGCAGAAAGTTGCCAACAGAAATTTGCCAGCAGAAAGTTGCTAGCAGAATCAGCAATAACTGCTGTCATGGTCCAGCACCTAGGGTGCATTCTAAGAACTAAACCGCTGCGCTAAGGGCAAAAAGACCAGAATTCTAGGACAGCGTCCTAGAACTGCACTCACTATATAAGGAGCACTGTGCCGTCACAACTGCTAGGAAAACATAAGAAAGGTAGAGAGTGTCCAGCAGAAAGTTGTCAGCAGAATCAGCAACAACAACCAGTAAAATGCAAGATGCAGAGAGTAACCAGTAGAAAAATGCCAGCAGAAAATTGTCAGCAGAAAGGTGCTAGTAGAAAGTTGCTAGCAAAAGGTACTTGTTAGGCCCGTGGCGGCCTCCAGCAAAAAGCGTTGCTGCCCGCTTGGGTCTGAGTGAAAGGGCCCCGTAAACCAGCTCCCCTAGGGAGAAGTCTTCCGCGTGCTATCGCGCAACCTAGCCATGTTTTTTGCAAACTAGCGCAAGAAAAAAAATACTAGTTTATGTGAAGATTCATGGTTGCAAGGACACAAGGAAGGGTTTTCGCTTTAAAAAGCTTAACCCCAAATGTAGTACTAGTTTTACTGCGAGGAAAAGGGCATGGGGAGACCATGGTATTGTATGCACATACAAAGCATGTATCAGATGGGGAAAATTGGCCTTATCCAATATGGAGCTAGGGTGAGCTAGCTCATCATGTACCTGGGCTTCGGCCTAGAACACAAGAATTGTGTGGTCACCCTTAGGGATGGCCCTGTCTTTTGTAGCCAAGAGGCTCAATAAAGACGCTAAACTTGATTAAATAAATAAATAAATAGGCCCTATTAGCAGGTCAAGTGACCTATGTCATGATTTTGTTGGAGGTCAGCCTTGGCATGCGCCAAGACTCCTCCCCTAATCTGGACTAGCTCACCATGTGACCCACAGTAGATAGACTGGGTCACCTGGCCTCCAATCCCAATCCTTAGACTTCCCACAGATTCTACATAGTCCCGGGGCAAGGTTGCCGAGAGCTCAGGGGGGAAATAGATGAAGCCTAACTAGGCATAGAAGATCAATATTATTGCTCCCTCTGGGGAAGAAAAGAACTGAATAGGAGCCGGCGTTGAGGTCGGCTCTAACCTGCGTGGCCGGTTTGGCGATCACGTCGTATCTAACGGCTTATTGGTCAGACCCTGTAGCTGCCTGAATGCCATATAGTTCAGGCACCAACACATGGTATATTAGCACGTGACTTATATAGATATACCCCTGAGTGCATGCACAACCTTGATAGCTTCCTTCTTTGAACTACATCTTGCAATTAGAAGCCACTTAGCTCTCAGAATAGTTACCGTTAACTAGCTGTGCCCCCTGACGCGCCAACACTACCCTCCTGTGTTGGTGTGTCCCATCATAATGGACATTTTCACCACAACAGACAATTTTTACTATTTTCTCGATTTTCTCGACATCTAGATTAATATCTAAATACATTAAAATGTGCATCAATATCTTCCAGATCCTGGCTATCTCTCTGAGTATTTTCAACAGTATCCGATCTGTGTATAGTGGTGGGAATTGAATTTGAAGATTGGCGTTTTTGGATACGGTGTTATGGGCTAGTTAACTAAGCCCATATTGCTGACTCAGCTTTGTTCTCGTCTTCTGATTGGCCTCATTTGTTGTTCATCACATGACTTCTGTCGATACAGTTCGCGTGCCTTTCTCTCTCTTCCATTCTTCTTCCTTCCCCAGCGAATCCTTTTTATGAGTTCCTAGCTTCTGGACAAGGCTTTGGCCCCTCACATACGGGAAATAATCTGTTTTCATTAAACTTCAGCGCGTTCAGCAATCCGGCGATTTACATCCTTGACTGTTAATGGCCCTATAGTAGGGATTCTTCTGCGAGATTTCCGAGAGTTTGGAGCGCGCGCGCGCTCTAGATATTGAGAGATATCGCTTTGAAAGACTCGGTCAAGACGGCGCGTAAAGCTCTTTGGCCACAATTTTAGCAAACACTGTAGATTTGTGGTCGTGCGTACAGCCTCTTAATGGATAAGCTGTTGACTTGGGCGTTCAACATGGAAGAAGGCGTACTTTCTGAAAATCATGGTCGCACATATAGAATATCAGTGGACAAGCCATAGATCTCCATATGCACCAGTGCAATATTTTAATTAAAGTGGTCACGCATATGTAATCTTGTTGGACAGGCTACTGAGTCGCACATGCGCAAGAGCTTTTTTAGAAGAATCATGGTAGCGTGTATAGATTGCCGCCAGACATGCTGCTGACTCTCACATGCACCAATGTTGCACATGCGCCAGGGACTTCTCTCAAAAATTGTGGTTGCGCATATGAAATTTCACTGGACATGCCATAGAGTTCCATATGCACTCTAAAAAATTGTGGTTGCGCATATAGAATCTTGTTGCACAGGCCACTGATTTGCACATCCGATGGCTATTGACATGCAGAAATGACTCTTTCAGAAATTGTGGTCAGGCACATAAAATATTATCGGACAAGCCAGAGACATCCATATGCACTAGCATGATTCCCCCAAAAATGTGGCCAGGCCTACAGAGTCTTGTTAGACAGGCCAATGACTTGCATATGCGCAAGAGGTGATTCTGGAAAACTGTGGTTGCGCGTGTAGATTGACATCGGCTATGCTATAGATCCCCACATTCGCTGCTCCTCAAGACGCACAAGTGTCATATCCTAAAATTTGTGGTTGCGTGTC